AAGGTGTTCGAAGGAACGGCTTATGAATGAGGGAGACTCAGTGGTAGACTCCGCCCCTTCTTCCAGCACGGACTGCGCCCTTGATTCCATGACAGAACGTCCTGGTGGTGGACAACCAGTACGGGGAAAGTCCGGAGCCATTTCTGAAACTCTAATGTGACTACGCTAACGATTCTCTTTATGAGAGGCGTAGCGCGCGCGAAACCTGCCTCCATTACTCAACCCTTACCAATTGGTTCAGCCCAAAAGATCATCGATTACTTCTGGAACGTTTCTTTCAGAACTAAAACTTCTACGTTTATGAGGGGTCTCAAAAAGTAGTATAACTGAGAAGACATTTTCACGGCGGAGTACAGAACCTTTGAAGGGGCAGTCCTGCTGCTTGGAACAAGGAAAGGTGGGACCGTGCAGCAATTCCTTTGGTTCCTCGTTCTCCATTCCGCCTATCATTTTCCTGAATTTTCCTTCCTGCCTACCTCCCCCTCCCCCGAAGTTTTATCCCGTAATTCAAGGGGGAGATGTATAGTGCACTTGGACGATACCCCCTCAGTCTGGAGACCAAATACGGCCCCCTTCACTGATGATCCGCAACCTGCGACGTATTCTGCCTGCAAAGGTCCTGCACAAAAAGGACTCAGAAGGAAAAGCAGAGAACTCGTCTGAGTTGCCATGACCAATCCGGAGGTACTGATGTCGAGAATGAGTGTTTGCCGTAGGGTGATCTCCCACATGCCCTCGAACAAGACGACAGGAGGGTTTTGATGCGCTCCCGTCAAATGTGTACACTTGAAGAGCCCTGTACAAGTACCCTGAGCCTGAGTTTGAGCAGTAGGCAGCTACTGGCGCTACCAGAATACCTCCTACGTGAGTTTCCCAGGTGATCAGCGTGCGAGTGTGAAGGTCGAAGTCATAATAACTACCACCTTTCGACAAGTGACGTATTATCTCGATGCAAATACCGTTGTGGTGTGTGGGAGAGGCGCAAAATGAATAGAGAAGGTGGGGGAGGCCGACCGGTTGACGGACGGGCACCCTCATCACCCTCCACAAACCCGTCAAAGGTCACCCGTACAAGGGCGATCATACCGAGATTGCTGCGCGTTGCCGACACCGCGCTACCGTCCAGCGCTCTTGCCGCCGCAGTAATCGCCTGATGAGTTATATGGTGCATTACGCACAGGAATGAGGGATCGACAGTTTGAGTGACTGGATTTGGGAGTGAAGTTTAGCTTCTGTGCGTCGTCCGGGAGCAGAAAGTGACATATCAAGCGTGGCAAATAGGAGATATGAGCACCTATCACTTTCATGGGGTCCACAAGAGCAGTTCTGTCATGGCAGCAGAACTTCCTACTTCATCAGCGCCATTTGAATGGTGCCAGATTCCACTGCGAAGTTCGGATTCATCAGGCAGTTCCCCAACATCGCCCCACCCGTGGAAGGCCGGTTATCGACGCGGTGTCTTAGAGAGGAGGTTGGGAAGTTTGTGCTCAGAGTTACCCCTGCTGCATAGAACGTCGGTAACCGGGAACCTCAGTGAATGGTAAGCCCAAATGTTGAGATCTGTGCCTCCTTCTAGGTGAAAATGATGTCATGACTAATACTAAGCCAGGCGAAGAAATAAATCCTACAGAAAGCTCAGCGATCCGAATAGACTTGAAGCGCGAAAAAAGGGTTGGGGAAACTTGTCCGATGCCAGCGATCTCGTGCGAAATCTCAAGTGCGTGGCTCTTAGGCGTTCCTCACTGTTTTTCGGCTGTTTTCTTCACAGGCGGCCCCTTTGCACCCTGTAGTTCATGTAATGAGCGCAATGTCCGTCATCTTTGGATCGCTCAGTACGCCCTTAAGAACTTGCAGGTCTTAGCGTTCCCAATAGAGCGGGTGATGTCATGCCCTAGAATGGTGGATGGTGACTTGCACGCTGAAAGAAGAACTTTACCTAACTTCTATCTTTTTCAGATATGTCGGTCAACCTATTCAATGTTGGATTCCTGCACAATTTACAGGTGAGGAATGGGATTCTTTTAGGCTAAACTGTACTAAATAAATTATTGTATAATTCGTTTAGCAAAGATTTGTCCCCTTTTGGGATGCGCCATGCACTCTACTCAGCGTAGCATGAGCAATTTAATGGGATTTGGCCCATACTACAAGTTAAATTATTAGGTCAACCGTTGTAGGGATCATTTTTTGTCTGCCAAGCAATCTTTGCGAGAAGCAGAAAACCTTTTTTAAGCTCAGACGGGGAAGAATTTCCAGTTTTGCCCCTTGGACTATGGGCGCGATAAGTGCCGCCACTTGCTCACACACCACCTCCGCCTAAATGTAGCGCCGAAATTAATGCACTAATACTTTTCTGAATGAGTTACAGAAAGTTGCTCTCTGTGAAACACGCTAAATTATGGCTGATTGGGCTGAGCATTCATTCAAAAGCAACTACAGTTTGAAGTCGGAATTGTGGCGGATCCCCAGGAAGATTAACCTCGTGCTCCTTGCCGGCTGACCTTTACACGACTTCCCGAACCTTTTACTTCCAAAGGCGCAGCACACGCTTGTCGTATGGGAGGAGTCAGTTTTCCACTATTCTTTCCTCACTGGTGCGTCCGTCCTTCGCTGTCTTCAGAAAGTGCCACAACGCAGGAAGGTACAGTAGACACGGAAGACACTTTTATCTAAGTTGTTCATGTAGAAAAACAGTCAATGATAGTGGCTATGTTCCAACCCAAGTCCCAATTCGTTGGAGCCCGTTGCAAAGTAGGCCATTTAGGACATGTAGGCCTTCTTCACCATGACTCTTCCTATACGCCCAGTATCTTTGGATCTGAAGCCCTTTTCTCATGACTGAGCTACAAATGGCATGGATGACTAGCTCATTGCCATGGGCTTTGTGCTGTTCGTGGGTGAATTGGGTTTTCAGTTGGTGGCCAGGAATGCTCACTAGAAAATCAAACATGGTTGTGAGTAACGATGTTCAAGCGATCGTTTTACTGGTGCGATAATCCGAATAGCATTTGCATTTGATCTCTAGCTGCCCGATCGGAGACCACACCCTCACCCGTCGGCATTATCTGGCATGAAAATCTTCGCGTTTCGCATGTGCAGGGGTGGTATTTATTTCAGGACGAGAGGTTGTTGTCATAGAGCCAAACAAAACTTGCTCAAGGCTGCGGATCACTTGCTGCTTGCAGATTTCTCATCCTTGACAATTTCCTGTGAATTATGCATGATAATGATGGGAACAACTATACGTTTTATTCATGAAAGGTACAGATCCTTTCATAATCCATCTATTGTGAAGGAATATAGGCGGCAAGAAAAGGGCAAGATGTTATAAACATTTGAAGCCTTTAGAAGCATTTCTTCAAGAGTAGATCCGCCAGGGACTGAGGAACGAAGGAATATGAGCGGGAAGGAAAACAGCTGAAATTGTTTTATAATGATAACTGCAAATTCTAGTTCTGAAGGTTATCGCGAGCATGCTGAGTTATGTGCAAAAATCATAACCCTAGGCGGGACTGGGAACTGTACCTTGCTGGCTCGAGTCTCGCCGCGGATTCAGACTTTTGCCAATAACTCAGCATTCTTGTGGAAACCGGTTCTTTACGCGAAACTGTCACAAAAGTGCCTATTGCCACGGGCCGGTGGTTGTACTCAAAACTAGACGAAAATACTCACCACTTCAGGGCTCGACTCATTTTCATGCCAGAATATCCAAGAATCGATTGTCGGCCATAGATTGGTGAATTTCCTACATGTGAATCCTACAGAAGTAAAGGTTAAAGCTAAACAGACAATGAAGGAAAAAAGTGGAGGTCAGATTATCCTGAAAACAGACGGAACTGATCTCCTTGATGGGTTATAATT